AAAGAATGTCAGATGAAAGAATGTCAGAAGATATGCCAGAAAGAATGACAGAAGATATGATAGAAAAAAATCAGAAATAATGTCCGGCGGCGAACACTGCCAGCCATCCGACACTTGCTGTTGAGGATGCGAGGAGGAAGAGGAGGCGAGGAGGAGGACAAGGAGGAGAAGAAGAAGACGCGAGGCAGCTGACGTAACATCTAACAACCCTCACCTGACAGGTGGGGAACAAACAAACAAACAAACAAACCAAACAAAAAACAAACAAACAAACAAACAAACCAAACCAAACCAAATCAAACCAAACCAAACCAAACCAAACAAAAAACAAAACAAACAAACAAACAAACAAACCAACAAACCAAACAAAAAACAAAACAATCAAACAAACAAACGAACAAAGCAACCAACCAAACCAAACAAAAAAACAAACAAACAAACAAACAAACAAACAACATGGGACTATACTGAAAGATTAGCCAATTCAGGTGATCGGGTGATCTTGAGATGTTTTGGTTGGGTCAATGGTTGGGTCCCAATCTTCTAGTCCGTTGCCTTTCTTCTGGGTCCCTGGAGCCTCCAAAATCGGAGAAAGGCAGGGCCTAGGGCCTAGGGTCTAGGGCCGGGCCCGGAGATCCTCTCGCACCTCCTCTCACTGCGACCGCGACGGTTCGCGACTCACCGCGACTGATCCGCCTCCTGCAAGAGCTTCCGCACCTCGCGGCACGACGCGTTGCGAAAAACCGGTGGACCATCCGGTCGGCCGATCGGCTGGGAAGTTCTCGAAAATTGGGGCTTTGTTTTCACCTGCTTGGCGGACGGTGGATGTGTTTCTTCTCGAGATTTTTCAGTGCATGTTGGTGTCAAAAAAGAGGTGCCACCCGAATCTGGTGTCACTCAGAAGAAGTGAAAGCACCCCATGGGGATCCCGTGCATCTGCTCATCTTCAGACAGATTTTGCCGACTGGGCACCCAACAACGGATGCAGCCACAAGATGATCGAAATTTACTGCACCTTGTTCTTCAAAGTTACCTTTTGATCCCCTGGTTTGAGGTCACTTAGGCCTGGAAAAGGCCACTTAGGGACTCCAACAACGTCACTTTGAAGAAGCTGGCACGCAAGAATTCCCCATGCTTACTTTCAATAAAGCAGATGTTTTTCTGGACCGACAATGGCACCAAAAAGTCAACTGCCCCCAATAACAACTCCCACCTGTTAAACTATACCCAACTGCCACCAAAAAGATGCCTTTCTGCAAAGTGAAGTAAAAAAAAGCTCAAGTATATAAGACTTACATTCTCTGAAAAGCAAAGTGCAAACTCCTGATTCATCCACTTTGCCATGGATTCCAAAATCTCCTCAGGCTTGGGGGGCTTGAAATATCAAGATTTCCACATGAAACATAAGATGAACATCACAGACCTGGAAGTGGGTCATGCGGCACCCTGAAACCGAACGGTCATGCAACGCCCCGAGACATGCTCAAGCCATCTCAAGCCACATTCCAGAGTTCCGGCCGTGTGTGTGTAGGTGCCACGGGCACCTATCTCTTATCGTTGAGAATAGTAGAGGGTCGTTTAGTTTTGGTACTACCTACCGGACTTGGTACACTTTTTGAGGGTCTCCCCTCTAATCAACCGACCAAGAGCGTAAAAGGGACCCACACCTAGACTCTTTGGAACTAGCATGGAAGTGGAAATCACCAATTCACCCCGCCAACAGCAGGCAGGATGCGCATGCATGTGTTGATGCCTAACAAGTTCCTTTTTGTTCCTCTCGCGGGGTGCTCAAACCCAGCCCGCGAGGAAGATCTATGCCCTGAAACTGGTTTTCGATTCCGATGGTCCTCCGAAACTAAAAGGGGGCCCATGCCACTCCACTCGAACGACTGGGCACCTGGCACAGGGTATCACTTCATTGGTCTCTCTTGGCATCGTCCCTTGGCACTTTCCACTCCCAGGAGAGCATCTCTTCTCCCCTTCCAGTCCAAGGAACCACCCGGCAGCGTCGCTCCAACCAGCGCCGTTGGGGACACCAAGGGCTCAGCCAGTGGCGCGGCCCACGGCTGGTCACGCGGAACCAAACACCGATCGAGGCCTGTTCGATCGGGGGAACGTGGAAGAGACGAAAGAGGTGCAACTCTGAAGGAGAAGGGAGAATTCTGTGTGATTAAATCTTTGGAGAAGGGATATGAGCGCTCATAGGACCATCCGACCATCGGGGTGTCCTGGCTGGACTACCCCACACTACCTAGGATGGCCTTCAGACAGGGCACCCCGATGGTCGGATGGTCCAGATAATATATTATATAGACAGTGACCCAGTTCGCCTTCCAGGACCCATTTACAAAATGGTTGACCTGGTGTTGACCTGGTGGAACGTATAGCTTTTAAAGTCCTTATAGCAAAACAGCTCGGTGATATTCGGAATTCGAACCATCGAATCAATGGTGGAAAACAATGGAAAACACGACTCCTACTGCCGTGGCACGTGCCGTGGCACGTTCGAAGGTGCACGACTTCGTCATATCTTTCCTTAAGACTTCAGGCCCCAACCGGGAAGCACCACCGATGCTTTGCGCTCGACAGCTCAAGAAGATGGGGGTCTAGATAGACCCAAAGGATCTGCACTAGATGATCTGCAAGCTGGTAAAGCTGGTCCTTCTTGGGTCCTTCTTGGGGAAGCTCCATGATTTCTAGCAGCCTAGCAGCTATGCCTCGTCGCAAGAGAGCCCAGTCAAGACAAGCAAGAAGAGGCCCCATGCACTCTCGCAGAAAACGTCCAATTCGAGCAGTGACTTGGTGCATGCTTGTATACCCAAACAATCCAGAGGACTGGAATGTGTATCTACATCGGGTGGTGGAAACGGTGTCAATATAAATACCTAGAACCCAGACATGACCTCGCTCTGCTTTGATGAGAAAAGACCATGTTTGGGCTCCAAAACACTGGTCGATCAGGTTCTAGGTGTATGGATTGTTGGGCATATACTTTGTGCATTCGCACGAGGCATTCTCGATTTCTCGGACTCGGCCCCCCATCCCGCCGTGGTCAGCCGCGTGTGCATTAAGCCTTAGCTGTTCGAGGCTGGCCGAACAGACTGATTGGCATGTTTGGCACCTAACCTGGCCAACCATAGGCTGAGATGGTATGTTAAAGTGGTACTTCTTCAGGTCCTTTTTCAAGGGAGAGTACCATGGTATCCACATTGTGTCACATACTTATCCACCTGTATTCAAGATCATGGTCACTACATTGGTCACTGGTCGACCTTCCGGTTTGCCGACAGCACCCCAACAGCTCGGTCCAGGTGGTCGACCACCTGTCACTCACGAAGGTGTTACCGATCTTAGAGGGTCCAGGTGCAGAAAAAGAGAAGAACTGCAGGTGGCCGGGCGGCCGGGCTGACAAAACGGAGAGGGACCGGGCTCTTTCATTCAAAGAAGACAACGATGCGACGCGGCATGTCGACTGCCATGCCGGACTGCCGAGAAACGGCCAGGGGGGGTTGGGAGGGTCAATGGGGCGGCAGTCCTATGGCAGTCCCAGACGTGTCGTGTCTGGGATGAAGAAGAACCTTCCCTGAACGGATCAGCTCAGCTATGCTCAGCTCGTAGTCCCTCAGAACCTCAAGACGCAGTTTTTGAGAGATCCAGCTCCCAGCTTTGTCAGGAATATGAGCATGTCGTGGAAACTGCAAGCATGAACCATTGGTCATGCTGCACGGAGCATCTTGCCGCATCCTTTTCATCCAGGGGATCGATCCGGGGCATCCCAACTAGGGTCACTGGTGTTCTAGAACAGCTCTCCCGAACGGTCGCACCGGCCGAGTGGCACAGCACCGCGGTGAGGGCACAGGATTGGTGATCAGGATCCGTGAGGAGCTCTTTGGGAAAAATATCCGAAGCATTGAAGCCCTGCGCCAATTGCTTCGGCAGCTTTCGGCCGGGAATGGTGGAGGAGTGAAAAGAGAGGACCAACGGACACTGGAGATAGCTTTTTTTTGTGGGGGGGGAGTGGACGAGGAAACATTCCCAGACACGACACATGGCACTGAATATATGCCGATCAATTGACCCCCCAAACCACCCCAACTGTTCGGCATATATGGCATACATGGAGTGTCTGGGATTTGTTGAAGTGTGAACATTTGTCCTTGTCTGCCGTCCTAAAAGTTCCTGCATGTTCTGCACCATCTTCCGGGTTCACTTGCGCAGCAGTGTCCGTCAAGATCCAAGCTTCTGTCCATTGACCCGCCTACCGCCTACTAAAGACAACTCCAAACCGGGGGACCCTCCCACTGACCATGAGCCCGAATACATAAAAGGACGAAATAGACGACGGACGACCTACAGGAGGTCCATGCTGGGTAGCAAAGGGTGATGCTACGGGCCCTGAGTTTTGATCCACCATTCCAAATGATCAGCAAATCTGCCTCCCCCCCATAACAAGATATGGTGACGCCCTGCATCTACCCCTAGAAACCAGTCCAAAAAGCAACCCTTTTTTTCGAACGAAGGACCCTGACACACCTCACCTGCCACCTGCCACCTGCCCCTTCCTCATGACCTCACGCCACGGACCCTCCCGTGCATCGAACGCATCGAACGCATCGCCTTGGAGGCTCGCTCCCGGGAGGCGCCACACCACACGAAGGCCCTTTCGCTGGCCAAGTCGGTGCCTCCGCAGCACGACGCCGACGGAGGTGAGCCGTGGCCGGAGGGCGTTGAAAGGCCGGAGGTGCTTCGACTCGATAAACGACGCAAAGAGGCGGGAGGAGAGAACAGTTCTGCGTCAGGTGGGCATGTTCGGGCAAGTTGTTGGTCTGACTGGAGTGCCATGAATCAGTTGATTGGCGTGTGTCGAGGGCGGCATAGGGCTTCTCTGAATGAGCTCTTCTGGGCTCTTGCTCAAAAAAGATGAGCATTGAAACGCGGACCAATGAGCTGGCCCAAAAAGAGTGTAAAGTGTCCATCATGAAATACATTGAAATACTGGAGCCAAATGTCATCCATTCTCCCGGGATGTAGAGAAATCATTGAAATCACGTGGACCAAAAGGGACCTCAAGGGACCTCCACCAACTCTCACAGAGACCACCTCCCAGCCCCAGTCCCCAGTCCCGGCTTCAGTCCCGCTTTCCGCCACCTGGTACGCAGGCGCGTCGTGCGTGTAGACCCAGACCCGAGATGCTGCTGGGGGCGATGCTCAGAGAGGGCGCTAGGATCCTGAGAACCGGCCGTCGATGCTGAGTGTGAGACTCGGAGTTGCTTGGGAACCGGAAAAGGCCAGTGAATGGAACTGGAAGAGGACACCAACATCTATTGCATCTATGGATCCACAGTGATCCACATACCGAACCTCAGAAGGTCAGACTGGACCCTCCTGGCGCCTACATAAATCATCTCCAATCACCGTAGCTCAGGTTCGGTATATGTGGATCCAAAAGGTATTGCATGGAACGGCTTTTTGGAGATGTGGGTCGGCTTGAAGATGCCTGGTGTTTTAATGTTTTTGAGAGGAGACCTTCGGTCGGCTGGTCTCGAACTTCAGGACACCTAGATGGCTCAGTTGGTGAGACCTTCCACGAATGGAAGAGGAATGATGGAAAGGATTGGGTGGGCGATCGCTTGAAGAGATCAAGGGACAGGAATTGACCTTGGGTCTATCACCAGTACTAGTGGATGATGATGGTTACTAAAGCCCTTGTTCAAAAATCGTGATTTGCTTATTTACTGACTGTTACAGGCAATAGGACAGACCCACAATATACCCCTTTGAACCTACCCTTTGAAACCTCCCAAACTGATCGGGGGTCATATGTTGGGGTCCCATGCATGTGTCAACTGTCATGTCAAAACGGGACCCGGTCTTATTGTTAGTTGTTGTGTGAGCTCTTCTTTTTCAGTCAGTGGGAGAAAAACGAAAACCACGCACAAAACAATTGGCCGTTGTGGGGTTGGCGTGATTTCAGGCATGGGTCGCCATCACCATCAAGTGTCCAATGACATGATTGGAGTCCAGTCGCATGTTTCAATATCTTTCTTTATTGTGTCCCCATCTGCTCAAGATGTCTTCGTAAGCATCCAGAACGGATTGCCCTCAAAACCCACTGCTCAAAGGACTACAGTAATTGGCTGACCCTTGGCTGATGGTTTTCTACCAGCAGTTCCAAAAGAGCTATCCATTTAGGAAGTCAGAGTGTCTTTGTCACATCCACGGCCCCTGGATGGGACTGAACATCTCGTCCATCTCAGTCAATGTATGTCACCAATATTTCTATATACCTACCAGAGCGCCCTATGGGGTGGTTAATGGATGCCCCTTAACTGCTATAGGGGTCTATAAATAGAGACCCCTTGGGGGGTCCTGGTATATACCAGGTCTTAATCATTGAGACCTGTGATTGGGCCCTTCCCAACCCTGAAAAAAGGTTCAGACCCGGCAGTGAGGCTACTGATCTGCTGATGCATAGCTATGCAGATGCTTTCACTGATTTATCACCACACAATCCTGTGCGAGAAGTACCAGATATCTTATCTCTGACAGGTCACCAACAGGTCGACCCTCTCACGGCCCAACAAGCCTAGAAAAACCACCAGCACCACGGATTTTGGGTGGTTATTGGATGGAAAATACCTAGAAAAAGAAAAGGGGTGTCCATGGTCACCACCCGTTCCGCTGGTAGAGAGAGTGGTGTTTTTGCTGCTGAAACCAGGATGCCTCTCCAGGTGTGCCAGGTCTTCCGGCTCGATCTCCGAGCCTAAAACCAGGCGAAGACGACGACTCGGGAGGACGACGTTTCTTCCGAGGGCACCGGATCGACTCCGAGGAGGTCGAAGGATCCGAAGAAACGAAAGGCATCGCGGTGCTGAGCAGGAACGGAATGACGAAACCAATGAAGTGACTCTGAAACTGGGTGAAAATGTCTCAGCTGGATGTGAACATGTTTAAAAGAGGATTGGGTCGGACATGCACTGCTACCTTCCTCAGATGTGGTAGCCGCTTCGAGAAAAGCGGCTACAAACATGCAACGGTCCATGAAACATGAAGCAAAGTGACGGTTTCTTTGTTTTTAAAGGGACCGACCGGTCGATGAGAGGATGAGAGGATGGGATGAGGATTTGTGTTTCCTCTGGCTCTGAAGACTCACCCAGCTCTTCAACGGTCCTTTGTACGGACTTGATCTAGAGGGCCCGTAGGAGGTCCTCCTGTCTTTAGGCTTATCTTCCAGGCTTTAGGAGTGGAGACTGGCGGCATTTCCTGAATTCCCTTTCATGATCTGAAATGTCTCGCTTTGCTCCCCCCGTCCTTGTGCTGCCTAGAGCCACAAGTATAAGGAACATCATCTCATCCGATTCTTCAAAAGTCACCCATTCCACCCTCCAACCCATTCCAACCTACCCAAAGCAAGCACCACTTCGCCGGCCAGTTCTGGGTCGAACTCCCGTTTGGGTCCCTCCGTTCCCGGTTCGTGGGTGAGACAGAACTGGAGATCCCTGGTTTTGCCCCTGTGCCTTTGGCTTGTCCAGGAACAAGAAGAACCGGAACCAAAACATACTTAGCCCAGACACTCCATGTATGCCATATATGCTTACATTGGGGTGGTTTGAGGGGTCAATGTAGGCATATATGGCATACATGGAGTGTCTGGGTAGTACATCTTAGTATACCACCTTGCACCTTCCCAGCAGGAGAAAAGAATCAAATCCACCCGAAAAAAGAAATACACACACACGCGCGCGCGCGCGCGCGCACTTCGGGTTTCGTGCCACTCCAAACACGCCGTCCCAAGTCCTGAAACTTGTTTCTCAGTCTCAACCACTTCCTAAAGGATCTCACGCAAAAAAAGAATTGGGTTCCAACCAGATCCAACCAGAACTCTTTCAATCTCCTCTCCCCTGGGGGTCGGTCAGACTATAAAAAGAATGGTCTGACTGGGCGACCTGAAAAGGAACTTCCTTTACTTCAGTCAGTCAAAACATAGTCGAACTGGACTTCCAGGGGATCACCATTGAAAGATGTCGAAGCTTTCCACTGGCCGCGGCTCGGACGCTTCGAACTCTCGTTTGCCTCCAGGAGCCCCGCTGCCCAGCGGGAGCGGCCGAGAACGGCACCGAGAACTGGGCCACCTGATTCGGTCGGCGCGTCCCGAGTTCCGAAGGAAGAGGTCCGAACTCCACAGCCCTTCCGTCCCTAGGGCTCCAACCACCTCCTGAGAAGATGGTTAGGGTGGGTTTGGGGGGTCTAACCACCTTCTGAGGATATGGTTGGAGCCCTAGGGCGTATTCCTCCAAACCACCTACCTGGACCATCCGACCATCGGGGTGCCCTGTCTGGAAGCCATCCGTGGGGTAGTGTGGGGTAGTTAGTCCAGCCAGGACACGCCAGTCGGGTCGGATGGTCCTGGTACTGACCGAAGGGCCGTGGTCTGAAAAAGGAAAAAACAACGACCTTATCATGAAAGACAGGGGTTTCATCATGCAAAAAGACACAACGACTCGTCGTCGTAGACACTGAGTCAGCCGTTCAGGTTTTACATGGTTTTACTGGGGCAGGCCGGACGTTTTTTCCGTCGTCTTAGGTCAATCCAGCTCCACCAATGCTCGGCCGGCTGGATGTGTGGGCCAAAAAAGTCGGGGACTCCAGGATCTGCCTTTGCAAGATCGTAATGGGGTGTCAAGCGTCAGGCTTGGCCGTCCAATTGGGAACGAAATCCTTACTATAGGAACAAGGACGCGACAAGTACTAGGAAGAAAGGATTTTTCCGGGAGGGGGTTCACATGGATTCACTGATTGACCCATAAGGACAATGAGAAATCACCTGAACACCGCCAAACCAGGCAGGTGCTTTGAAGCCCGTGGATCTTAAGCCCCCCGATCTTCGGAACAGGGTCTTCGGATGTCTTCATCCGTGCCGTGAACACGTGTGCGGGGCGTTTAGGCATCGCCTTTTACCATCTAGATACATACCCAGACGCTCCATGGGACTGGAAGATGTGCCGCAACAAGACCCCCCAAACCCCCAAGCCGTTTCTCGGCAAATATGGCAGTCCATGAGTGTCTGGCATCTGGGATATGCATGGTGTTTCCCTGTCAAGGTTCGGGAAGGTGCCATCACCGGCTGTGCCAGGTCATACCAAGTCATACCAGGTTGCTATAGCAGTGATTTAGTGAGGAACAAAAAAAGCAAACGGAAGCACACACGAGGCTCCAATCCCCCTATATCTAGATCTTCCTATGCAACATGCCTGTCGAACTTGGCTGATTTTGATAAGTGGTAAAGGCAGAACTGGTGCACAGTTGGAAGATCTAGGTATCAAGAGGCTTTACAATCCATGTCTGGGGGGTTGTTCATCAACAGTCTACATGATCTTCAAAGCTCATGACTCCAAACATCTTCAAAGCATCAGTTGAAAGTGGACTAAGTATGATTCCTGGGTGTAAAAGGTCACTTAGGGACTCCAAAAAACAAACTTTCAAGAAGCTTAATGCCTAGTCTCTGAAGTTTTTCTACCATCTTCTACCAGTCAGTCCTGGCCTCGATCTAAAACAACGGATGTAAAGATCGGTCTCTTCATGCTTGGATGTCCTTCTTCTTCAGGAACAAAACATTTGACTAAGTCAGACGAGTGCTGTCCCCCAAGAAACCCAGAAACAAGTCACCTGCCAAAGTGCCAGGAACCGGGAAAACAGCCAGGGTCGCAACCTTCCGTTTCACGCCGGTTTCGCCGGTTTCGTCGTTGTTCGACTCGTTTCCTCGGTCGACCCACGACAGCGGTACCCGCACCTGTCACAGCGGTACCCGCAGCGCACGGACCGCGGGGAAGAGACGGTGCATGGACCAATGGCACCATGGCGAGCAGTCATGGAGGTTCGTGACACATGCGACAGAAACAGGACACATGTGAAGAGAAGACCCTCAAGAGGTGTTTATAACTAGCCCAGACGCTCCAAACAGCCCTTGGTCCCTCAAAACCATAGGGATTTGAGGGTCCAGACCCCTCCATATGAGGGTCCGACCCCTGCATATGAGGGGTCAGGAGCGTCTGGGAGCATCCTATAGATTCTCTTAGAGGTGATGGCATGTGAACATGTGAGTCAACCTGGACCATCATGATCTGGGTGTCCTGGCTGGACTGCCCAGCTCAGCCCCACGAAGGCCAGGACACCCAAACAGGATGGTCTTCGGAATGTGGACCTGCTGAGACCGTGAAGGTTTTTTGTTTAAACTGGCCTTTTCTTTGAGGTGCTTTTCTCAGGGCTTTCCGAAAAGGGCTAGAAATAGATTGCCAGACTTCTGAAGTGAAGGTGCAGTGATAGAGCCACCTAGTTGGTTGTTTTTGAACGTTTTGAGATTGTTGTGACTTTGGCTGCCGGTCGCAGCCCTCAAACAGCTTCAGTCTTCATGTCATGTTGAGACCAAAAATCCGGAATTGGAGCAGCGGATCTCCTTTTTCGCGCAGCTTGACCCCGCCCGGCCCATGGTCCCTGACAGGACAAACACAGGAGCTTGTGAAGCCCGCAGTGGAAAAACGTCAATCCCCTAAGAATGGAACTGGTTTTACACCAAAAGAAAGAAGCAAAAAACATATCAAAACATCCTCTTTGAGCAGCAAGAAGTGCTCACCAAGCAGGTCCAACGACCCAGTTTTCATTCTAGTCCTGAAAAGCTCAGGACGTCGTGATCTTCTTTCTATGACCAACTCACATGTCCAAGCTCAGGAGTTGAGTCTGGTTTGGGGTAAGGAACGGAACTCATCCCCTAGGAAAGTCATCCACTCGTAAGGAGCTTGAGGTTTGAAGAAAGCACTGGGGTCTTTGGACCACGCCAGGTCAAACCGGGACGCTGGCCCCCGGGACGCGTGCTGACGTTGACCGGTTCACCAGGACGAGATCGAAGGTCAAACCGGGCTCCATGGTGGTGAAAGGGGATTCTGCTTTGCCATGACCCATCCTCATATGGCTGTGGCTGCCCACATGTGCCCACCTTGGACTGGTTGACCCCGGATCCAGAGTTCCTCTGTTTGTCCCCCACCGTCGTTGAAACGGGCTGGGGGTCGAGCACCGCCACAGCCCGTGCTGAGTGGACTAGAAAGCGCGGACCGGACCATGGTGTTGGGGGTTTCTCTAGAGTCGCCCAGTCGCTGATGCACCTTCGGTGGACAGGATGAGACAGAACGGTCGAATGCTGTAAATGTCCGTATGCTCCGAATTTTCAAGATGGTTGAAACAAAAAGAGAAATCACCTGCCCTTCAGCAAATGAATTGCAACTGTCATGTTGGTCACACTCTCTCTCTCTCTCTCTCTCTGTCTCTCTCTCTCTCTCTCTTCTCCAAGCCAAGCAAACCAAGCAACCCAAAAACAACCAGCTAATGACAGTAACCAACCAAAACCAAACAGGCCAAACCAACCAGCCAACCCGTCCCCAACCGCGTAACGTCCGATCCCTCCACGATGAAGGCCTCGCGCACCAAACTTCGAGGAGACCGAGCCCTGCAGTCGACGTCGACGTCTCTGGGATTGGCGGGTCCAACCGAACGGTCGATCGACGTCGACGTCATCATCGACGTCGACGTCATCCCCAGTGGCAGGAACTTCACCCCCAAATTCTATCCATGGTCCATCCAACAAACCACCAGCACCCCTTCCAAAACCACAATGGAACCGGATCGCAGACCTCCTCTGACTACATCCCCCCGGACCGACTGTTGATGCAGACCTCTGTCCTCTCCCACATCATCAGGGTTTTCAGTTTTCAGACAAAAATCAGATCGGAAGGAAGTCTGCCCCAGATCGGCTCCCGCCAGCGGCCTTGGCCTGGATCGATGGCTGCAATAATCATATATATGTTGGGTCTATCCAAGCTTACTTAGGGCCCAACCAACCGACCAACATATATGTAGTGACTTGGGTAGCTTACTTAGGGCCCGTTACTACGCGTCACTTGGGTCGATCCATATGTAATATATATATCATATATATGTTGGGTGATTATTGTGTTGTTTGATACTATTGTGTTGTGTAAAAAAGAGTGATCATTCATCGTTTACAGGTAAAGATCCATATAAGTAGTTATCTACCCGGACCCTCCAAGAGGTGTCTATGAATAGCCTCTTAGAGGTGATTCGCTATGTCCAAAAAACACCAGGCGAATGTAAGGTCCTGGTATGCATCAACCATGAAGTAGAGGATTATGAAGTACCTCACATCACATGTCAGAGGATGCCACAAACAAAAAGGTGTTTTTGGATATACATATATATATATCTAAATATTCCCTGGGTCTGACTGTTCTCATGGACCTTTTATATGCAATACTGTAATACCATATACCTGGATCTTCCGGTTGTGCCGAAAATCTACCTTCTCATGCAGAAAACCACCTGAAAACGCAGAAATTGTCCATACTGTATAGTTGGAAGATCCAGGCCTCATCCGAATCGTAGTACTGAACCCATCACAGTGCATTGCCAGTTCACCCCACCAATTCCCGACCTCTTCCCCGAAACCGCCGCGCGCGATACGACACCGCGGCGGTCTGGGTCAGCGCAGCTCCGTCCTCCCATTCTGGATGCTCCACGCGTCCATTCATGGCGGCCTCTCATCGGGCCGAGCGGCAAACCGGTCGTGCCGGGTCGAAGGGCCAAGCGACAGACGAACGAAGGAAACCTGCGAAGCGTTCGAATGGAAGGCGGAACCGGAACTCAACTCATCACCGATCGTCCTTAATGGTATTGAAATCAAACCTGCACTACCGATGTTATAGACAATTCATCTGATTCATCACGCTTTCATAATAAATCACCAAACTTTTAGGGTTCGTCTTTTGGGGCTTCCCCCGACCTGATGATTAATCATCACCGAGAAATCCCATGGTGGGACCGTATCAATCCGCCACCTGGCCACAACCCGCTCCCGCGGCCCAAAACCGACCACGGCGACCTCGGCTTCCACCGGTGGCTGCGGATGGCAGAGGACCCGAGCCAGAGCGGAGGATGGGCCAGCGGAGGTCGCGCAGCGGGCCACAATGGAACCCGTGGAAGAACAAGTGAGCTAGGCCAACAAGTTCAGGAAACCCGAAGACGTCCAGTTGGACAATTGTGTTTGGCTATAGATCCTGCACTTTAACATATTATGGTCACCATAGTCAGAGCACGACGTGTGCAGTTGGGCGAGACCATTGACGGTGCGGAGTTTGACGTGCGGAGGTACGGCCCGTCCCGTGGGGCAACTCAGGTGTTGAGACCTGTCGACATGTACGGCGGCTTTCAGAGTAGATGGCACAATCCCCAAGTTAGGTGGTTTATACCAGGACCCTCCAAGGGGTGTCTATTTATGGCCCCTTAGCTGTTAAGGGGTGTCCATTAACCACCCATTGGGGGTCCTGGTATGGACCTCCATCTGAAAGACATGTAGGGGTGCCAGTGCCATCGAACCTCTGAAACCACTGTACACTTCCTGGAACCATCATGAAACCACATGCAAAGCTATATGCCTGACCTCGGAACATGTTTCCCTGGAAAATACAGCTTATAGCATTTTTCCACCTGTTATTGTTAGTGGGGACCCCAAAAAGGGGTAAAGATCCTATATAAGTCAAAATGGTGTTCAAAGATTATCCACTGGGTATATCCAAATCCCTACAACAGTGGATGATGATGATGGTTGGTAAAGGCCTTTCTCCAAAATATATAGTACATCATTGTTTACCGATCATTACAGGTCATGGGACACCCCCAAGTTTTCCACTTTTTCTGGGATCCGGATGCTATATGACTGATCGAATCGCAGCAAAACGGGTTTCGCCAGGGGCCCAGGCCCAGGGCCCCTGGGGCCCAGCGCACCAGTTCCGAGCGAGCGATGCAGGGCAGTTCAGTGCGGAAGGTCCATCGATTCACTCCGCGTGGCGAAGTAAACACCAGAGAGGCCCAGTCCACGAACTCGTGTTTTCACGGACTCATCTATGGCCAGACATGACACATGGGGACTGCCTTTTTTTGTTGATCCCCCTGGCACCACCCCAACTGATCGGCATCTACGGCAGTCCCATGTGTCGTGTCTGGGTATATTAATCATATGAACGACCACGTTCGTCTTGGGAGCACTCCTTCGCCAGTCCACGCTCGCAGCGCGACCCTGCGTGTTTTCTCTTCTTCGTTGCGCTTTCATCTTCGCTTTGCCATGACCGAACTTCGCATCTACCACAATGGCCGTCCCACGCACGTCGACCTGGCGAGTGCGGCAAGTTCGGGAGAGGTAGTTCGGGTGTATCGCTGGCTCTTAGGTCGTTCCCCAGGCGTTCTGGTCCCAGGATTTGATGGTTCGAATCCGGCAGAACCATTGGGCTTCACTAAGGATTTTACACATGTTGCACCAAGCTCCACCATCCTTTAAAAGGGCCGTTCACGGAAGGCGAAGCTCACGGGGTACTCAGTTCATCACCGATCAATTGGGAGCCATCCGATACGACCGCCGATGGAGTTGGTTCATGGACACCGGGAGTCACGGCGTCGAGTCTCCCGACTGGCGACCGGGGGCGACTGGGGACTGACCTGGGGATATCTGTTGTCTCCACTGAGATGTGATGTGACGTACTCTGAATCCTCTGACCAAACGTAGCGAGGCCCGACACATCACCTACTGGACCCTTGGATCCAAACCTCCCATCAAAACAGTTGGACAAAACAAGGTGTGGAAGCTCCGCTGATGCCACACACTGCAAGCAACATCACTGTCTCGACAGTGTGAGGGGTGCTGCTTGAGACCAGTATTAGCTTCGCTTCAAGGCATGAATCTGCCCTCCTTAAGTACAACGCATCCTACTGGCAGCAAAATGCAGGAAATTGTCCCTTCCTCCAGCGCGCTACCGAACCCTTTCCAAACACTTAAATTCTTTGAATCGTCTCAATTATATTATATACTTCCAATGCATTCCCAAAGAAAACAGTTGAAAAAAATAACAACCCCCAAACACTCCATGTATTTAGCATGCCTACATTGAATTGACCCCTGACATCAATCACCCCCCCAATTTAAGGCAAACATGCCTGACCAGGTCCCCACCAAATATAGCTCCAGGTGGTTCGTGCAACTCCAGGTCCGTCGGTCTATCCCCACCCCAAAAACCAGGTGCCAACACAGTGACCACGCGACGCTGAAATTCGGGCATCATCAACTATACAAATGTTCGAAACCCATCAAAAACAGGAAATTATAATGAATTTGATGACTGAACTTCAGGCCTCGATGGGGGAGCTCTCCAGCGGCCGCTCCGCGAAGAGATAGAGGTTCTCGGCCGACCAAGGAGCGGAGACGGAGACGGAAAGGACAGCCCACCGCCGTTGAGGTTTTTATGATTAACGCACGGTTGAGGGACAGTTCAGGGCTTTGTTGGGACGGTTTTGCTGAGACATGTTGAGACCTATGGTATACAAGGCCCGGACGGAGATCCACTCTGAGACACCGTCAATCTGTGGACTCCATGGGCGGCACGAGCAGGTGGGAGGAAGTGGACGTCGTGAGAAGCAGTTCTGCCGGACCTACAGCCCTTTTGTGACCTATTTTGAACCACCCACCAACCACCCGAAATAAGATCGTTTGCTATCAAAACAAAGGTCATGTCACGGCTCTATACTCTTGGACGAACACATGGAAGCGGATTGCATGGGTGGTTGATTGCGGTTGTAGAAAGAAACCGGTGGTGCCATCCACCTTCCATATAGGCCAATGTCTCCTTCATCACACGAGGAACGTTGGCACAAACAAACGAAACGCACCAGCCATTCGATGATTGCCAGAGGCTCCAAATGGCGTGTTTCTGACATAGATCACCCGTTTTGTCTGTTCCTCAAATGTCTGGCCTGGCGAATGCTAATGCCAATACCTGGTATACCTCATGACTCATATACCTTAAGATACCTGAAGTCTGTATACCTTGGAAGACAACGCTTCAAAGTCATTTAGCATCGTCATAGGTTTACGTGGATGGCAAGGAACTCTGAAACACTTCAGATCTGATCATCCTCCCCATCTGAAGAACCTGAACCTCTGAGATATCTGAGATGCCCCCCCCACCTCTATGCGACCCCTATTTTCCTTCCACCCGCTTCCCCCGCCTGCGCGAACATACCGTTGGTCGGCCGGTGGAGCTCGTGCCGCTCCAAACGCTTCTCCGCGCCGGAGACCTCGATGCCTTCCTCGAGAAACACCGTGAAAAGCGGCACGTGAAAAAGAGCCAAAAAACACTGTCAAGTTTCAGAGCTGAGTTCAGGATAGGTCAGGGTTTGGGTGGCCAGAAACGACACTATGACTCATGGCCTCTCACAAACTAAAAACAAGTTGGAGCAAGACTCCAAATGGTGGGTGACACAGGGACATTCCTAGTCCAATCATTATTTATCCTCAGCCTAGGAAGGGACTGCAGCCCCACGTCTGCTTGCAGGCATCAAAGTTACCCACATGGAAAATTTCAGCAAACAAGCCTGTCCAAAAATAGCAAGTGGAAGTGCCCATGGGACTTGGAACTGCCGCACTGGCCATGCGAACCACACCCTGGTGGGAGTTCCGTCAACTATGTTGTTTAAATGCTCTGACCATCCCTGACCAAATAGTACCTCGCTGAAAACTAACATGGACGCAGAAAACCACTGGCTTGTAAAGGAAAAAAGTCTTTCAGGGCGCCAGTCGACCCGGATCCATGTTAGTTTTCAGGAGTGTATCCGAAAAAGGACGGACGGACGGACGTCCTTTTTCCGGTGCCCAACGGCTGAGTCGAGTAACCGGGGACTCCTCTCAGTCCGCAGGTCGAACCTGGACTCCTCTCTACTAGGCTTCCAAGCACCATGATTTCAATACCCTTTTATCGAAGAATTATTAGATTTTGTTATACCCAGACACGACTAATGGGACTGCCATATATATAATATATATATATGCCGCCCCATTGGAGTGGTTGACTGGGGGTCAATTGATCGGCAGTCCTATGGCAGTCCCAGGCAGGTCATGTCTGGGATGAGGATTTCACACGGCAAAACCAGGATTTCGCCGCAAAAAAAGAAAAAAGCACCATAACAAAACCAGGGGTCACCATGGGTCACCTGGCTCTTCCAGCAGCACACCACTGTACTATCCGATCTCGACATGGACACCCCCTTCTTCAGGTCGAAAGCGACCGTCGACCCACCACGCTGCGCTCGGATCATCCGCCGCGCGGCCAAGATGTGCTCGGCCCAACGCTGGAAGCCTCGCAGCCGAATGGTTCGATGGTGAGTTCCACCCGATGTTTCGATGTTGGTTTCTGATAAAGAAGTTTCCTGAACTTGTTTGCCTAGCTTGTTCTTCTTTCCTTTCCTTCCCTTCCCTTGCTTTGCCTTGCCTTGCCTTGCCTTTCCTTTCCTTTCCTTCGCCAACTCCTGGCGCAAAAAAAAAGGCTCTCGGCGCAGCCCCACGCGGAACGTGGCTCTTTGCGGTTTTTGTGCACGCGGAACGTGCACAGCGAACGAACGGTGGCGAGACCATCCATGGGACTGGAAGATTTACCCAGTCCCAGACACTCCATGTCTACATTCGGGTGGTTTGGGGGGTCAATTCATCGGCATACACTCCCTGAAACAATCATGGAAGTGGAACGCAGGCCCCTGGAAGATAATTTTCCTCTACAAGGGGGTCCTGGTCAGCTTCCATGATTGTTGGAGGGAGGGTATATGGCAGTCCCATGGAGTGTGGGACTGGGTATGCATTGACCCGTAAAACAACTCAACAAATCACCCTCAGTCTATAGACAAAGATTCCAGTCGCATGGATTGTTCGAAGGTCACGTGGATTGTATAAGACATTGCATGTGAAGAGAACAAAGTGAAGTTGAGCACTTCGAAGAAGTTGACCAAAGTTGATACTATAATTCTGAGATTCTGGGTGAGACTCGTTCTGAAGTGGTTTGTATAAGACTCACAGCTGCTTGGATTTGTTCGGTTCAAAATATATTGGTAAGAAATGAACATCTCTTCCCACGGAAACCAAGCATTCACAGTGATTCATCCATCTTCGGGGTCCAAAACCATCCAAAATCCATCCGGTCCAAAAACCGCTCTCTCCGCTCGCCCCATCCCGTTCTGGAGCTCCGCACGGTCTGTGTTGGAAGGCACCACCTGAGAGAAGGTGGTCTGAGTGACTCAAAACTTCAAAGAACTCCAGCTTTTTGCCGAATGAGGGCCATTGAAAGGAAAAAACTGACATGAACATGACATTTGGGTGTCTTTCTTGATGGCAGTTGGCATTTCCTCAGGGTCTTGACAGGTTCGGCTTGGATATAGTGCGGCCCTGGAAGAGGGCCGTAAGTTTGCGCATATCAAGCAGCTGAAACCGGGTCATTGTGCTCTCATTCGTGTGGATGAATCACCTGCACTCCTACTGTACGTCGATATGCCAGCACCACAATGATTTGCCGAGGCTGTTTGCTGTTCACTAGCAAAACAACATCTCTTATAACAAATGTCAGACTGTCAGACAAATACGTCCAAAGACATGTACAAAAAACACACGTACAATTAATATATGTTTTAAAGTTAAAACAACAGTATATGCCCTTTAAGGTAATACGTAATACCAGTCCCTAAGGATCCGATCGCACAAATAGTGCGTGTTTGGTGGAAAGTGCATATTTGTGCGTTTTGCTCTGAGGAGGTGTTTGGACACCAAGCGCGCCCACAGAGGTGTTTTGGATCAGGGTAGGATCCGAGAAGGGGGAAAATGTCAAGAGCAATGGCATTTCATTTTGCTCAGCGGGATGCATCTTTGAAAGGTGCGCCCACCCGCTTGTGCCGTGGCTATCTGCGGTAGAATCGATGTAAAAATATCTAAAATATAGTTGAGGGGATATGAGATGATATTTTCTAGAATAGACCATGATATTAATCGAATGAGGTGTGCTCATATGATCTTGCTGCTGGCCAGATGCGGGTTGGAGAGAGTGCGCATGTGCGTCCCGACGCATGTGTGGGTTCCAGTGCGTACAGTCAGAGCTGGCAATCGATCCTTGGCGCATCGGTATCATGGCGGAAGAGAGATCTGGGGTTGTTCACTTCTCCAAACCCCTTTCATTCAAAACCACCGAGTCTCGCCTGCATGGTAATCTCGGTACTTCAAAATAGACCTGTATTTTGAAGCTCGCATGTGTGGGGCTGTACATAGGAGGGCGATAGTGAATTTCCTGATCAGGATGTATCCCGGAAAATCTTCGAGTTGCTGAAGCCTCATGTGGAGGGCCGATTGGAACATATCAGGGATGACCCTGCGTCACGGCTGCAAACTTTGGCCCACCAGCTGTTGCATTTTTAGATCGATGATCACACTCGTGGCCATCAAATTTAACTTGCGCAACCTGTGAGGGCTACCCCATTGTCGACATGGCCCAAGCCCAGCTGAAGGTCAGCGAGGAAGACTTGCAAAATCCCACCAACTATGAGATCCTCAAGGGGTACCTGTGGGAATTTGCTGGCTCCAGATTCCCGACGTTGGAAGATCACAAAGCTCCCCGGCCAACAACATGCCCAGAGTAGACCATCCTGAACCTACCGTTAATTACCTGGAACAAGGCATAAAAAGGGGGACTCACTTCCCAGATTTGGTTTCCTTTGAGGCGGCTATGCTCCAGCTGTGCGCTGTATTCAAGCTCTACAAGGATTCAGACAAAGGGAGGGGTTTCAAGGGGCAAAAGAAAGATACTTGGTCATGACCATGGGCGCTGTTACCTGCAAAAATGATTTAATCATGCACCCCCCGTCTTCCCGCAATCGAATTCCATGATTGGGTCCAAGGATTGGGCTACTCTCCAGGGTGCGCGACTGAAAGCCCTGGCAAACTACTTGGTGAGGTTGACGCGGACATGGGAAGCTAGGAACCTTTGGATCAACATGACTGCTTGTCAACTATATTTATGCAATTTCATGGTGGGGGGGTGGCTAGTCTTGGCCAATCTTAAGGACTTTTGAAATTGCTGTCCTCAAGAACATCTACCGGTTGAAAGTTGAAGGCAGAGTTGACACAACTCCCATGGTCCAGGTTGGAACTCGCACATTTTTGGCCAGCTTTACATGTACATGTTATTTGATTGCAGGTTTCCCTTCACACGTATACCAGCAGGTCAATTTATCGCGGGAACCATCAGTTGATATGGCGGCGATCGCAGATCCTGAAGATGAGCTGCCCGCTACTCAAGCGGATCCAGCTGCTAGTGATTCAGAAGATGAAGATGATGATCAGTGTGATCTTGTTCAAGTCGTCAGTTGGCGGCACCATCGAACAAGAAAATCAAAATTAGCCGGTTGGTAAAACAGCCGGTTGACTTGCCGGGCCCTAACTCCCTCCAGCATTCCGTATATCCGAGGATCCAGAGTCGTCCGCAGCTGCAGGGCCTGGCGGAGCGTTTGTGGTTCCACCGACTTCGTATGATTGGGCTAGGGCAAAGCAAGCTGACATTCGAAGCAAAAACAAGGAGGATAAATCATTCTGCGCGTGCACTGAAAAACACATGTGAAATCATGTTAAAATCGATGTATACTCCGGCCATCGACTCTGTTTTTTTGGGCAAGCTGACTATTTTTAGCTAGGAGAAAGCTGCAGAGAAAGGCCGTGGCCGCGGCCGCGGCCGTGGTGGTGGGAAGGGTCGTGGACGCGGTCGCAGTGGTGCCCGTGGTGGTGATGGTGGTGGTGAGCGATCTTCATCGAAGCGCAAGCAGCCTGATCATGATGATATCGATCATGATGATCTGAAGTCAGGACCTGCTGCAAGCAGCACCCCCGCGCCAAAGCCGAAAGCTCGCTCGCGAAGCAAGCAATCCCCAAAAGCTACGAGTACTTCGAAGAACCATAGTCGCAAATCTACTAGCCTCGAGGCTCCCAAGCCAGCTCCCAAGCCATCGACGAGTCGACGACAGAAGCCAGCCAAGGCCGACAGTATTCGAATTTCTGAGGCCAAACCTGCTGCTAAGGATCAGGAGCCCAATGGGGCTGCAAAGAACGCGCACTCTACACGCGTTGCAGCAGCAGAGCGTGCGCTGGAGGAGATCAGGAGATCTGGTGTGACTCACCTTCAAGTCCCTCATGGCTTTTGCAAATTGAACCTTGATTTTGAAGTGGCGTTCACGTGATATATACGACGCACCTGTGCACATGCGCAGCCATGCCTACATGCGCTGAGGAGCTTCACAATTTGGCCAAACCGACAGGCTTTCGACGGGGCCCGTAGGAAGGACCCCAACGCGCCCAAGAACATCAGTGGGATTAACGTGGTTCTCTACTCGAGCAGCTTCTACGTACGGAAGTTCATCAACCCATTGGCTCAGTTTGAGAAGGCCAATCTATTGATATCGAATTGTTTTTTTTCGATCAAACCAATCATTATATAAGCGCTAGATCGGTTTAGCGTGCGAGGCTGATAAGAAAGGCGGCGTGACGATTCCCTGGGCACAATTTGAAAGTTTGCAGTTGGCGTCTGGGTCCTAATCGAACTTGCAATATAATTGCAATATATTATTATTCTAATAGATATGTATGAGAAAGTACTAGCCGCGCGTGTTGCTCAGGCTGCAGGCTGCCCAAATGATCGCTGGGTGGAACAATGACCAACTCTTTAAACAATCCTTTGGAGCTGACGGCTGCTTACCTGTATACTACATGAAAATAGTTTAACTGAAATCCATGACACACGGCCAGCTAAGGAATTTTGGCAGAGATCTACAGTTCTGCTTTTGAGAGGGATGGCTGATCCGATGTGATCAGTTTGTAGTTGGGGTCCGTCCAATTCCCGCAACCCAGGTGCCAGTGCCTCATCGTTTGTCCATAATGATCATCATGAACCAATCCCATGGCCGGCATGTTGGCCTGGCAGCAACTTGTTTTTCGCAGCCGGCATCCTGGAAGTTGATAAGTTCATGAAATTTGGAACCACTCGTTGTTCATTACAACGGGTTGACAGCATAGGTAGGGGCTCACAAAAATGGAAGTCATGGGTATAACTTCCTATATATATATATATATGTGGTTGTGTGCACACGTGTGGGCACTCATGAGGTTGACTCGGCATGCAAGTTCGACGGCCCAAGTTAGAGCAACTGCTCTTATCACGGGAAAGATGCCCGAAGGTTGCCCTACAATCCAGCTTTCGCAGCTGCAAGTGAGTTTCTTAATCCTAGTGGGACTACCTCCTATTGTGTCACTCGATGGCAGTTTTGGTTTCCAGTTGCGGTTTTCCCAGCTGCTCAAATTTGATTTGCTTGGGAAAATCTACCAATCCATTGCAAGGATCCACCTCTTGGATTACATCAACCAGGTCACTGTCTCCCCTTTGGTGCGTCGCAGAGTGGCCGGGTTGAAAAATAGTATAATTATTGGTCAGCCAATTTGCTTTTGACCAGCTCGCTCAGGACCAGTGGTGCTGTGAACTATTCTCTGGTGTGGGCGAAGTAGCTGGAGGATTTCGTGCCTTGGTGTATATCTAGTCTCACTGGGTGGAACCTTTTTGATAATAAACGTGCGTGCGCATCAACCAGCCCAAGGCCGTCTTGGACTACAAGCGTTCCTTTGCTCAAACAGTAATGCGCATGCTGTTGTCGAATGGTTAAATGGAAAAGAAATATGGGCCTGGTCATTGCTGATTGCCACTGAGTCTGACATTTGACAAAGATGCGAAGGGATCCCTGGAAGACATCGGCACAGTTCACGGTTTCGCCCGGAGCTTGCAGCTTGTTCTGAGGGTTGTTCGGTTCGGCCTACTGCAGGCAGGCCAACCATGCAACTCGTTTTCGTGGATGAGTTCAGGAACACATGATCGAACCGAAGCCAATGGATACATGGGGCGAACAGAACTAGATTGGATAAAACTTCACAACATGATCGCTGTGCGGTGTGCCATCTGTATGCTCGTAGCTTTTAGCCGCAGGGTGCTTTTCATTTTGGAAAACCCCCGCCAGAGTGTGGTCACTCACTTCCCATACTTCGAATACATCCTGGAACTGGCGGAGAGACTGGACCATCATGCACTTGGCCACTGCCATCCTGTATACACTTCTTGGTGGCGAGTCTGCAAGCCTGGTTACACTAGATATGTGTTGTAAGAGCGAGACATCAACAGACTCTCCTATCTGTCTGG